CCAAAGTCAGGAGCCAGGAACTTCCTCCAGGTCTCCCACGTGGGTGCAGGGTCCCAAGGCTTTGGCCCATCCTTGACTGCTTTCTCAGGCCTCAAGCAGGGAGCTACATGGGAAGTGCAGCAGCAGGAACTCTAACTGGTGCCCATATGGGATCCCGGTGCATTCAAGGCAAGGTCTTTAGCCATTGGGCTACCATGCCAGGCACAATTTTTTTTAAAAAGTATGTAGTGGAACCATTTCTTTTTCTCCCCAGTTTCTAATCCAACACAGGCTAGTACTTTTATAAAATATCAAAAACTAAAAACAAATACATACAAACCCCATTTTTTGTTACATCCAACCAACATAAAATCACAACAAAAATGTTTCTCAATAGTCAATTTCTGTACTATGCAACTAATTGTGAGTCAACACTGTATCCATTTCTTTATCAAATAATGTTGGCTGTTAAAAACTCTCTTACAAATACACAAAACATTTAAGGATAAAATGACAGAGATATTTACTTTTAAAAAATTTATTTTTATTCGAAAAGCCAATTTACAGAAAGGAGGAGACACACAAGGAGAGAGGTCTTTCATCTTCTGGTTTATTCCCTACATAGTGGTGATGGTTGCAGCTGAGCCAATCTGAAGCCAGGAATGAGGAACTTTTTCCAGGTCTCCCACGTTGATGCAGGGGTCCAAGTACTTGAGCCAGTCATCCTCCATTGCCTTCTCAGGCCATAAGCAGAGAGCTGGATTGGAAGTGGAACAACTGGAACACCAATTGGCACTCATATGGGATTCTGGAGCTAGCCGGTAGAGTTAGCCTGTTGAGTGACAGTGCCAGCCTCTGGTATTTACTTGTAAAAAAAAGATAATTTATTTGAAAGGCAGAGTGTGAAGTGCGGACAAACACAGAGACAGACTTCCATCTGCTGGTTCACACCTCAAAATGGCCACAATATCCAGGACTGGACCAAGAACTCCATCCTGGTCTCCCACTTGGGCGATACGGACCCACGTACTTGGGATATTTTTCACTGGCTTATCAGGCACACTACCTAGAAACTGAATCAGAAGCCGAGAAGTCAGGACACAACCAGCATTCTGATATGACATGTTAGCATTGCATAGGAGGCTGAACAGACTATGTCACACCACCAGCCTGAGATCTTTAAAATAAGAAAGGTGGTACTGGAAATATATCAACCCATAGGTACATGACTGTCTTTGAGTTCATTCATTAACTGATGAAACTCAGACTTAGCATATGAGAATATGTTTATTCTAGTCAGACTTTTTAGTGTGTTTGACAGGCTCCATAATCAAATATTAGACTATATTTCCTATATTAAAAGGAAAGTCACAGGGTCACCATAGCAGCAACAGGAAGGCTATCTCCTATCCTGTGAGCCAGCATCTCACATGGGCAGTGGTTCATGTCCTGGCTACTCCATTTCTGATCCAGTTCCCTGGGCCCAGCACCCACATGGGAGAAATGAATTCTTGTCCCTGGTTCCAAAACAACTCACCTTGGGCCATTTTGGCTACTTGGGGACTGAAACAGTTGATTTAAGATCTCTCTCAGGCCTGATGCAAAGGCTCAACTGGCTAATCCTCTCCTTCAAGCGCCAGGACCCCAAATGGGTGCCGGTTTGTGTTCTGGCTGCTCCACTGCCCACCCAGCTCTCTGGCTATGGCCTGGGAAAGGAGTGGAAGATGGCCAAACTCCTTATGACGCTGCACCGCACGGGCGATCCAGAAGAAGCCTCTGGCTCCTGGCTGATCTGAAGCCATTTGGGGAGTGAGGTAGTGGAGGGAAGAAGTATATATAATAAAAAGAGGTTCCTCTTTAGAGATTTGCTAATTTACATTTTGGCCTATAAAATAAAAAATAAATCTTTAAAAATTGCATTTATGGGGCACGGCACGGTGGCGCAGTAGTTAAGGTCCTCACCTTGCACACCCGGGATCCCATATGGGCACTGGTTCTAATCCCGGCAGCCCCACTTCCCTTCCAGCTCCCTGCCTGTGGCCTGGGAAAGCAGTCGAGGATGGCCTAAAGCTTTGGGACCCTGCACCCGCATGGGAGACCGGGAAGAGGCTCCTGGCTTTGGACCGGCATAGCATCGGCCATTGCGCTCACTTGGGGAGTGAATCATCGGACGGAAGACCTTCCTCTCTGTCTCTCCTCTCTGTATATCCGCCTTTTCAATAAAAATAAAATTAATCTTTAAAAAAACATATTTATGTATTTATTTATTTGAAAGTCAGAGCTACAGAGAGAAGGAGAGAATTAGAGAAAGATCTTCCGTCCAGTGGTTCACTCCCCAAGTGGCCACAATGGTTGGAACTGAGCCAATCCAAAGCCAAGAGCCAGAAGCTTCTTCAGGGTCTCCCACATGGGTTCAGGGTCCCAAGACTTTGGGTCATCCTTGACTGTTTCCCCATGCCACAAGCAGGGAGCTGAATGGGAAGTATAGCAGTTGGGACACTAATCAGGCCCATATGGCATCCTGGCACATGCAAAGCCAAGACTTTAGCCACTACAACACTGCACTGGACCCAAAAGATAAATCTTAAAAACATTAAAATTCCAAATGGTGCAGTTTTAGACAGGCAAATGTCTGCAGCATTCTTTGTCAAAGGCCAAAATTCATTAGCTTTTCCTCCAACTATGTTTTTAAAATATTTATTTATTTTTATTGCAAAGTCAGATACACTGAAAGGAGGACAGACAGAGAAATATCCATGTCTGATGATTCACTCCCCAAGCAACTGCAATGGCCAGTGCTGCGCCAATCCAAAGCCAGGAGCCCAGATTCTCTTTCAGGTCTCCCACATGGGTGCAGGATCCCAAGGCTTTGGGCTGCCCTCGACTGCTTTCCCAGGCCACAGGCAGGAAGCCAGATGGGAAGCGGGGCTGCCGAGATCAGAATCCACATCCATATGGGATCCCAGCATGCTCAGGGCAAGGACTTTAGCTGCTAGCCATGGCGCCAGAATCTCTCCAATTACTTTTTTAAAGATTTATTTTTATTTGAAAAGTTGATTTACAAAGACAGAAACAAAGATCTTCCACCTGCTGTTTCACTCCCCAAGTGGCTGCAATGGCCAGAGCTCAGCTGATCTGAAACTAGGAGCCAGGAGCTTCTTCTGGATCTCCCAGATGGCTGTAGGGTTCAAAGGCTTTGGGCCATCCTTGACTACTTTCCAAGGACAGAAACAGGGATCAGAAGCAAAGCAGCCAGGACATGAACCAACATCTATATGGAATACTGGCGCTTGGAGGTGGATGATTAGCCAGTAGAGAGTGTGCCGGTCCATAAAATCTAAAAATTTTTATATAAGTTGTACTGAATGCAATTTACTTTTGTTTGACATCTAGATGATGAAATGGTAGAAACTTAAAATAAGATGCAGTTCAAAATAACAAAATCAACAAATACCATATAAGTGTAACTGCTCAAAGGAAATAGAAAAAAGTCTTAGCTATTTGGAACTCTATAATAAAAATTACTTCCAGTAAGGGCAAAAAGCATTTAAAAAATCAGAAAAAATTTCAAAGATTTATTTTTATTGCCAACTCAGATCCACAGAGAGGAGGAGAGACAGAGAGGAAGAGTTTCTGTCCAATGATTCACTCCCCAAGTGACCACAATGGCCAAGAACTTCCTCCAAGTCTCCCACGCAGGTGCAGGATCCCAAAGCACTGGGTTGTCCTTACCTGCTTTCCCAGGCCACAGGCAGGGAGCTGGATGGGAAGCAGGGTTGCCGGGATCAGAACCAGCGCTCATATGGGATCCCAGCTAGGCCACGGCGCTGGACCCATCAAATGATTTTTGACATAGCTTCCCATCAACATTGGTTAGTAGGATAAAATACTCCTTCCAATTTCATCCTTTCAGTTTCTTTTGTTCTTAGAATCACAATTTTAAAAGTAAAAATAATGCTTTTCTGGATAACTAGAAAGAAATAAGTTTAAAATTTTATCACTTCTTGGCCTTTTGTCTAAGATCAACTGTAGAGTTTAAAATTTGGTCCTAAGACTTAAAGGTTGAGGCGAGCAAGATTAAGGAAATTCCCTAATGGCAAGTGTTCCAAAAGCAAGCTCAGGAGTAAAACATTCTTTAAAAACAGTATTTACTCTGACTTCACTGCTTAGCTTTCTGGTACCTTATTCTTGATCTTGGAATAATCCTCCTTGCCCTCTACCTCCTTCAACCAATATTGTTTTAAGTTCAACAGACTTTTGGCACCCAAAAGCCACTCAACGCCCAACCCCACCTCCTAAAGGTGCCTGTTGTATTTTGTCATTTTGCTTAAATTGTGACTAAATCTAAATTGAAGTGTGCAGTGAGTTTGTTGGGTGGCAACAAAGTACTAAAGTTTTATATCTTTTACTCTTTAAGTGTGAGGTAACTAGAACTTCTGAAATAAATACTTAAAAAATTGTCTTTCTGGTTATGTTTTCTCACTCCATTCACCTTCTTTCTATTATCAACTGGCGTACTCTAATCTTGGAATCAAACAATAAAACAATTAAAAACCAACAGACTTTCATCTACACTACAGCCCCACTGGGCCATGAATTCCTAATAATTCACTAAATCACTCTTTTGTGCTTTTACAACTTCTTATATATTATCTAGTAATTCAAATGGTTTAAAAAAGTCCAGTGGAAGTTAAGGGTGCTCTGTAAATGCACCTTTAGATTCTATTTTTTAACAGATCCTGGCAGAAACAAGAGATGTTATCAGGAACAGAAAAGTTTTCTTCTTGAAAATCATCAAGCAACGCTTTACTGAAACTTATGGTCAAATATGAGGCATCCTAATGTTAAAATGTGAGCTTTAGGAAATCTGACCTGCACCCAGTTAAAGCAGATTATAACACTGTCTGCTTTGACTTTCAGCAATACACGAAGAATCCCTACATATCTCAAGTTACAGAGGTTGAAAAGAAGAATCTTGTCCACAGTCAGCCAAGTAAGTCTCAATAAATCAGCCACAAGACTTATTTTAAATATACAGTAGGAACATTTATTTTAACACTTCTAAAAGATATTTCTCCATGCCTGATGATTTGATATAAAAATCAAACCCATCATACTTTCCCCATCAGTCTCTACATTAAGCGTAATCAGAAATTTGTACAACATGAATATTCGCTTCTTAAACAAAAATTACAAATTAAGTGATAACAAAAATACACAAATCAACTGGACCCTAAACAAATTTCTAACAGTTTTTTTCCCTTTTCTGACCCCATCACCTAGAGCTTCTTTCTTCAGCCTCACTCTGCTCCTTTTCTTTTCTTTGCTTGGCCATGAATTTCTGTTAGAGGCAATTTATAACATAAAATACTTATTAGAAGTTTTTTTTTTAATAAGTACAAACCCATTTTATGAATTTTAAGGTATTTACCATTTAAAGGACAATATCACAAAATAAAATTAGAAACATGGTATCATAGATTAACCAATTTCTTTCATTCATCAATCATTTAATATTTATAAAATGTCAAGGCATTACATCTGGGCCTTGAAGACTCAGTAGTCAACAAGATAGGTAACACAGCTTACACCATGAAGCTTTTATTCTACTAGGAAAGGAGAAACAAAAACAACCAAACAAGGTAATTCTGGGCAGTAGTAAGTACTCTAAGATTAGAAGGTAACTGACTGAGGATACTCTTAGGGGACAAAAGAGGGTGTTCTATTCCTCCTCTGTTTGTCAAGCAAAGGCCTTTCTGGAGAACTGAGATTCGAGTCTATATCAAAGAGAAGAACTGGCCATGCAAGTAGGATTAGGAGAGGGCAATGCACTAACAATATAAAGGGGTAAAGACAGGAAGAGGCCTTTCATGCAAAACAAAACAAAACAAAACAAAAAAATGAACCACGAGAGCTAGAAACACTAGAATGTAGTGAGAAACAAAATGCAGTTTCAGAGTAGAAAAGAGCAGAGACTTCAACAGGCTGAAAAAGACTGGATATTATTGTGAGTGCTGCATAAAGGTGCTACAAGGTTTTAAATGGCAAAATTGTATGATAAATTAAGGGTACAGGTGTCATAGCATAATGTCTAAAAATTGAGCCTAGAGTAAAACAGAGCTGGGTTCAAACCCTAGGACTGACACTAGTTATCTAAGCCTGTGTTACACTCAGTCTCCTTGAATCTGTTTCCTCATCTTAAATTGGAATGATGGCATCTGCCCAGTAAAACTGATGAGGATATTAAGCAAATTCCAGCAAGTAATAATTGGTGACTAAGGAGTCTCGATAGCAGGACTTTCTAAAGACATACATGCCTTCACAAAAAAAGGGGGGAGTGACAGGTTTGGTTTGGTTTGGTTTGGGAAAGTGGGTTATATGTAAACAAGCAGAAAACTAGACAACTTGTGACTCTAATATGGTAATATGTACGTGACTTTATAAAACAGCGTCAGAGTAAGTTTCCCACACTTTGATGGAATGCCATGAGATTACTGGTCTGCAGCATTTACTCTGGCAAATACTGTCCACAGAAAAAGAACCAGGATTAGAGAGTAGTGGCAAAGTACAGTGAAGGACAAAAACAGAATTTCAGATTCAACAAGAATAACATAATTATTCAAAAGTTCTCCCACACCTAGACATTTTAGATAGATTTAGGTACATTTGGGTAGATACTTAAACAGTTCAGCCACAACACAATAGGACCTGAAGAATATGTATTAAGAATAATGATTTAAAAAAAAAGGTACCTCTGTATTTAGCTTATGACGTGTGCTCTTGCAGTGATTTGTCATTGCCTTTTCACCTGAGTAAAAAAGTGAACAAATTGGACAGAAGAATCCAGCCTTCGGTACAAGGAAGTCTAAATCTAGAAGATACAAATTGAAATGGAAGAGAAAGAACAAAAATTGTTAATTGTTTCTTATTAATTTTTTCAAACAAGACAACCATATTAATTATAGTGTACACTTACATGCAATCATAGTATAACTGCTAAAAGAAGCAGAGATTAAAAAAAATTTTAATCACAAATCATATATCATCACATCTAACAAATTCCTTAGAGCCAAAGGGAAGGTCAGAATGCCACTGCAATGATATACTGCAGGCTAAATAGATTCGATAATACAGAATTCTTCAGTTGTGCTTCAGAACAGCAATGCACAGGATAAGAATGAGTCTGGAATAAACCTCTTATGAGTCCCAGCTAAAACACAAGAGGCAGAAGAAACATAACAGGCAGCTGACTGCTTAAGGAGTATGCTAGAACAAAATTTGCTAGCCAAGTTTTTAGCATGTTCTGCTTAAGCAAAATTGATTTCTAAGCAAGTATAACTCCATATCCATTTCAGCAGCCAAAACACACAAAAATGGAGTATGTGCGAGGTAGGTGCGTACAAGTCCCAAAATTCAAGAACATAATAAAAATATTTTGATAGATAAAACGAAACAAAAAAAGCTGTCATCAAAAATGTCAGTAAGTAAAGCCTGCAAGTATCCATTTGAAAACAACACTTTAGATGAGAATTATTTATCTACATGTGGTATCTAGATACTAGGATGTAGAATTTTTACTTCATAGGAATAAGGAAAAAAAAATGTCAGTTTCACTTTACCTTCAGGGATATCAGATGCCACTGATCTGCCTAAAGAGTCTTCAATTTTCTTGCGTTTTTGCTCTGGTTCCAAATCCTTTAATTCAGATTCTTCATCAACTAAAGTCATTTCATTTTTTTAAGGAGGTGAAAAAAATTACAGACTTTGTCATTATTGGCAACAGTTAATTAAGGAATATAAAGTGATGAATTAAGAGTGGAGATTAGGGGAGAAGGACAGAAGAAGATACAATTTTGATGCTTTGTACTGCACTGCTTCAAACTTAAAAAGCTTCACCTAAACTGACAGCTGAAGACTTTTGTTGGGCAGAATCACCAATGACATGACATACTTTTAAGCCTGGCAAAGTGTTGAATAGTGTTAGCAGATTAACATGGTCTGGGGCACAGAAAAAGAGAAACTGGTTACAACAGAATCTGGTCACCTTGAATAACTGAAATACCTACTGCTGCACAGAACTTAAGTTTTTTTTTTTTTTTTTTAACATGCGTATCATTATTTTAGCTTCTATCCCACAAGAAATTAAAAAGAGCATTTTATCAATAGAGCAAACAAAAGAGAAGTAATAACCAAGGCTATGGTATCTGATGCTGGGACTGAAAATGGCGACTCAATCTTTGTGCCACAATCTTTGTGTCGTGTGGAAAGATTGGGTAGGATTTTATGAGTGCACAAAAGGAGCCAACATAAATAAAACTGAAGTTGGCTGGCAACAACAACAAAAAGTTCATTCCTCATTTGAATGAGGAAATGTATTAACTAGGTGACACCAACACATAAAAAGAATATTTAGAATAACAAAGCAAAGACAGAAAAGCCCTCCAACTGTGAAACAGTCCTAAGGGCCCAGATGAGATTAAGTTCAACGAATTACTTGGACAGAATCATAGTTTAGTTTTTCCCTTAGAAAGCAAACAGGAGGGTCTAGCCTTGCAGTGTAGTAGGTGAACCTGCCACATATGATATTAGCATTCTGTATGACATACTTTGTGTTTCAGCGGCTCTACTTCAGTTACAGCTCACTGCCAATGGCCTGAGAAAAGCAGCAGAGGATGCGGAACACGTGAATGACACTCTTGACTTCTTTGTTTGGCCCAACCCTGGCCACTGCAGTCATTCGGGAAGTCAACCAGTGAATAGAAGATGTGTTTGTCCCTTTCTATTTAACCCTCTCAAAGGGATAAGTAAACCTTATAAAGAAAGAAAGAAAATCAAATGGACAAAAACTGCCTAAAAGAGAATGGGATACCCCTATAGCGTTATTTGGAGTGGTTGATTTTTTGCTTTACCACTCTAAATCAATAAACTGAGATCCCACACTGCTTTTCTTTCTTGTACCTTTTTAGCATTTTGTCATATACAATATCTAATACTATTGAACACAGTGACAAAAATTTCTTGAGTGTCTTAAGTATTCACCCATAACAGATTTACTTATTTGTTCCAACTTACGTTTTATTAATACTATTAAGATACCTTGCATAATTCATTGACTGGACGCTTGAAGCATCCACAAAGCAGGAACCTGCTCCAAAAACAAGAATAAGTGGTTTCCACCTGATGCTGTAATGTGATCAGACCACCATTTCATACATCATTTTCACCAATCTGTCATAATCTAAAACTAGTGCTTCATAATTTAACTTATAAAAATTTTATTAGGGTGAGACATTCAGACAACAAATGGAACACAGGTTTCTGACTTTCAAATAAAACAAAATAAAAATTTTATACCCCTTTCCCACTACAACCTCACTACTTTTGTATTTTTCTTCTCAGCTGGTAGATCTTTGAAAAATCCCATGCTGCACACTCCCACAATCTTGGTTTACCTCCATCAATTTGAAAGGCCTCTTCATCTGCGCCTGCGTCCACCCCAGCAGCTTTGTCTGATGATGGTGCTTTCAGAATTCTAGTTCTTTTGGTTGGTGCCTTAGCTTGAAAAACAAAGTCTCCTTAAGTGCTATGGTACCATATTTAAACTGTCTGAATAGTAATAGGAATACCTCAGATTTTTTAAAACAATACCCAGGAGACAGACATTTGGCATATTAGTTAAGACACAGCTTGGGATGCCCCATCCCACATTCTGGTATCTGGGCTTGAGTCCCAGTTCTACTTCAGTGGAAGATTTGTCCCTCTTTCATTTTCAGAAAAAAAAATCATAAAAATATCACATTAGGCCTAGGGTTTGAGACATCTATGTCCCAAGGTTGGCACTGTGGCTCAACATGCTAATCCTCTACCTGCAAGCACCAGCATCCAATAATGGGCACTAGTCCTTGTCCTGATTGCTCTCTTCTTATCTAGCAGCTTATGATAAAGCTTTGGAGGATGGCTCAAGTTCTTGCACCTTGCACCCATGTAGGAGATATGGAAGAGACTCCTGGCGCCTGGCTTCACATCAACTCAGCTTAGCTCTGTGGTCATTGTGGCCATTTGGGGAGTGAACCAGTAAATGAAAATCTCTTTGTTTCCTTCTCTCTTTGTGAATCTCTCTTCAGAGATAATAAGTTAAAAAAAGCCAGGAGCTGGGCCCGGCACGGTGGCGCAGTGGTTAAGGTCCTCGCCTTGCACACCCGGGATCCCATATGGGCGCCGGTTCTAATCCCGGCAGCCCCACTTCCCTTCCAGCTCCCTGCCTGTGGCCCGGGAAGGCAGTCGAGGACGGCCCAAAGCTTTGGGACCCTGCACCCGCGTGGGAGACCCGGAAAACATTCCTGGATCCTGGCTTCGGATCGGCATAGCATCGGCCATTGCGCTCACTTGCAGAGTGAATCATCGGATGGAAGATCTTCCTCTCTGTCTCTCCTCTCTGTATATCTGCCTTTCCAATTAAAAAAAAAAAAAAGCCAGGAGCCTCTTCCGGGTCTCCCACGTGGGTGCAGGGTCCCAAGGCTTTGGGCCATCCTCGACTGCTTTCCCAGGCCACAGGCAGGGAGCTGGATGGGAAGCGGGGCTGCCGGGATTAGAACCGGCGCCCATGTGGGATCCCGGGTGTGCAAGCCAAGGACCTTAACCACTTGCGCCACTGCGCCGGGCCCTATTTATTTATTTTTATTACAAAGTCAAATATACAGAGAGGAGGAGAGACAGAGGAAGATCTCTCATCCGATGATTCACTCCCTAAGTGAGCGCGACAGCTGGTGCTGGCCGATCCGAAGCTGGGAACCTGGAACTACCTCCGGGTCTCCCACATGGGTGCAGAGTCCCAAAGCACCGGGCCGTCCTCAGCTGTTTTCCCGGGCCACAAGCAGAGAGCTGGATGGGAAGTGGAGCAACTCAGATTAGAACCAGTGCCCATATGGGATCCTGGCACATTCAAGGTGAGGACTTTAGCCACTAGGCCACGCCGCCATGCCCAGATTTATTTTTTTTAATTGGAATGTCAGATACACAGAGAGGAGGAAAGACAGAGAGGAAGATCTTCCGTCCAATGATTCACTCTTAAAGTGACCACAATGGCCAGTGCTGTGAGAATCCGAAGCCAGGAACTTCCTCCAGGTCTCCCATGCGGGTGTAGGGTCCCAAGGCTTTGGGTTTTCCTCGATTGCTTTCCCAAGCCACAGGCAGGGGAGCTGGATGGGAAGCAGGGCCATTGAGATCAGAATCAGTGCCCATATGGGATCCCAGTGTGTTTAAGGCAAGGACTTTAGCTGCTAGGCCACAGCGCCAGACCCCAAAAGACTTATTTCTGTTGAAAAATCAGAACATATTTGTGGAGAGACAAAGAGAAAGATCTTCATTCTGTTGGTTCGCCCCCCAAATGGCCACAACAACTAGAGCTGAACTGATCTGAAGTCAAGCCAGGAACTTCTTTCAGGTCTCCCTTGTGGGTGCAGGGACCCAAGCCTTTGGGCTATCTTCGACTGCTTTCCCAGACCACAGGCAGGCAACTGGATGAGAAGTAATGCAGTCAAGACACAAACCACTGCCCATATGGGATACCAGCACCAGGCCCACATATGGTAAATTTTAAAGGAACTGATATCAAGGTGTCCATCACCAGATGAATGTTATAAAGAAAATGTGTTATATCTACCTTTCAGATGAAAATAAATCAAGCTTTAAAAAAAAAAAGAAGGAAAGAAAAAACTTGTAACATATCACAGACCACTTGGGTGGATACTCAGCATGGTGTTGGTTGCTGTGGGTATCTTGGGGTTATGAACCAGAAATTGCGAACTCTATCTCTACCTCAAAATAAGTAATTCAAAATAAAGGAAAATATACCTTTATGAATTATTCTAAATCTCAAATGTAAACAAAAACTGGAAGGCAACCTGGTATGAATATCTGTCTGCTGATTTAGAAAACCTGTAGTTAAAGGTCTGGTGCAATGGCTCAACTGGCTAATCCTTCCCCTTCAATCACCAGGATCCCATATGGGCGCTTGTTCAAGCCCTGGCTACTCTACTTCCCATCCAGCTCCTTGCTATTGTCTGGGAAGGCAGTGGAGAAGGCCCCAAAGCCTTGGGACCCTGAACCTGCATGGGAGACCTAGAAGAAACCCTTGACTTCTGGCTTCAGCTTAACCCAACCTCAGTCATTGTGGCCATCTGGGGAGTGAACCAGTGGATGGAAAGTCTTTGCTTTTCCCTCTCTCTATAAATCTGCCTTTATAATTAAAAACAAACAAACAAAGACAAAAACCCAAGAAGAAAAACCTATGGCTAAAGTTCATATATAAATTCCTTGTATGAATGAATTTTAAAAGTCCTTTGCAGTAAAAAAAAAAAAAACTTATAATTGTATTTGCCATGAACTTGTTAAGGTTCCCCTGCATTAATAGTTAATATTGTCTGTTGCCTTGGAACATAGTCAAGTGCGAAATTAATGGCAACACCACCACATAAATTTACGTTTAAATGCACATTTGTTTTCATCTACTTAAAAGGCAGAACGGAAAAAAAAAAAAAAAAAAGCTCACATTTTCACTGTCCAATTCACACTCTAAATGTCTGAAATGGCTAGATTTGGGCCAGATCAAAGCCAAGAATCAGGAACTCTACCCGAGTCTCCCTGTGGGTGGCAGGGATACAACCAGTTGAGTCATTATCTACTGCATCTTAGGTGCCTTATGTGGAAATAACACAGGATGTGGAGGGGTCGGGACTCAAACCAGCACTCCAATATGGGACACAAGAATCCCAAACAGTGGCTTAACTTGCTATGCTACAACACCTGCCCTTAAAGTATATATTTAAAAAATTTTTAATGTAATCTTTTCAGAAAACAAAAAAGCTATCATTCCCAAATATCTACCTGCTAGGTGTCTTTGAATCATCACTTTCAGATCTTCTTCCATGACATTTTCATTTGCTGCATCCACTGCAGACAAAGCTTCAAGTTTTGTCTTCTTTGTCTCCACAGCTCTTCTCTTTCCATCTCCCTTTTTATCTGTGGGAGAGTCACTTTTGCTTTGTGCTAACTCTACTTTTAAATCACCATCTCCATCTTCCTCCTCTCCAACTTCATCAACAGTAACAAAATTAAGCTCCTCTTTAAGGTTGTTAAAATCAGCAAGCGAGTCCTCATCCTCTTCAGTTACTTCATCCAAAGTCACTAAATGCAAGTCACTGCTATCGTCCTGTATTTCATCTACAGTAACCAGGGCAGAAGGGTCTTCAGGCATCTGTGAAGAAATGAACCCCATGGACTCCCTTACATTACTCGCTTCATCTCCTTTAGTATTTAAAGTAGTGAAAGTTAGGTCTGTTGACTCATTTAAAGGTAGTTCTTCCACTTCTCCAATTTCATCCACAGTTACCAAGCGTTCCTGTTTGAGCAGATCCTGTTCTTCAACCATTGACAGAACAGTAACATCTTTAGGCTCACTGTGGGAAATGCAATCATCTTGGTCAATTAATTCATCTAATGTCAGAAGTGAATTCGAATTTTTTACCATTTCTTCCATGTTTAATTCTTCTTCATCAATTACTTCATCTACAGTGACTAGAGCTTGTGCAAGATGTGCACTTGCATCTTCCTCTTCCCCAATCTCGTCCAATGTTACAAAGGATAACTCTCCCTCGACACCATGAGGGCCAGCAGTCTTTCCCTTCTTCTTCTTTAAGTTAAGGTCAGGAACATTTTTAAGAGTTTCTTTCTTTTTTCCTTTTAATGGATTTTGTTTGCCTTGAGGATTCACTTCTTCTATAACCTCATCCACAGTCACATATTCATCCAAATTAAATGAAAATAATGGTTCCTGTTAGAAAGTTAACAATCAGGGTTGTGAACATGTAATGTCTGATTGGCTAGCTCCAATCAATCACAGTCAATGTATATACATGTCATTTTAGAAAATTTTAGTACAAAGAAATTTCCTAAATATCCAAATCAGGATTATGCTTTTTTTAAAGCTCTACAAATGAATTAATTACAATTCATACATGTCAACAGTAAAATCCTGACAAAATCAATCTATTCCTACTTTTAACTAGTATCAGTGAGGATTATAACTCTTAACAAATGCTACGTGAGTTTTGAACTATAATGCACAAAGTACTTCATTTAAAGCATTTGTCAAACAATAAAACATAAAGAATGTACTGTTAAATATCAAATGTCCTAGGAAATTTACTGGAAATTAACAGTACTCCCAAAATAGTTACAAGCAAATACCCAAATAGATTATTTCACTGATTTATACTTTAATTATATTTCAACCCAGGAAATGCTAAGCAGCTAAAGCTTAAATCTTGAGAAAGTCATATGAAATTATTAAAACTTAATGTAATATAACTAAAAGAAAAAAAACCTATTTTGAAATGCAGTGTCTGATAGAGAAATAAGTTTCTAGTGGGGCTCCTTTATCCTTTACATTCAGCATACTGTCAATGATCAACTAAGAGTTTATTTTAGCTCAAGGTGAAAAAGTCAATTTATGGTAGGACTAGTGGTATAGTCAAAATTAGTACATCCCACTTCGTTCGGTTGTTCTATAGTTCTTACTCCCTAAACATCAGTATTATTGTAAAGTAGGTATGAGTTATAAGATAAATTCTGCTATGGAGAGATGATATGAAAGGTTAATGTTAGTGGATTTTTTTTACCTCATTAAATTTGGAACTTCTACCAGTAGTGCTTTTAGAATTCTTAGTGTTTTGTTCAGCCAAAGTCTGAAATATTAAATAATACAGAAAAACAGAATTTACACCAGACGATGATGTTCAAAAAATGAACTTACAGAAAGCATTACTGAAGTATAGTCAATTATGCAAGTATTTAAAAAACTCACAAAACTAAGTCAACAGTCACTGAACAGCAGGATAAGCATCTCTAAAAGCTGGAGTTAAATTCAGTTTTTCTGAGTTTCCCAATATCCGTGTCTAAGTAGGGTAATCAGTGACCTGACAAAGTAACAGTTTAAAAGAGGAAATCATTTTGAATTCAGAAGCAAATTGCTAAATCACCCTAGGAGGTTTACTGTAGACTTTTTCTTTAAGTCACATAAGCCTATTTCCAATTAACATCTATGTAGGAATGCTTTTAAAAACCGATTCATATTATAAAAGGTTACTGGATTAACTCAATGAAATTTTTAAAGGAAAGGACATTGGAGCGTGGGGTGAGCAAATGAAATAATCAAACAAGATTACATCTCCTACTTCTCAGCAACAAGAGCTTAACACTGAAACACAGGGAACCAGCCTTCCTGTTCTCCTCACCTTATTGTTGCAGTTATCCCATTTCATGCTGGAAGATCTAGCTTCTGCTTCCTGAGACTGTTTAGAATCTTTGCCTTGCAAAGCTGTGATCCTTCCACTGCCTCCTCTGATAATGCCACTCTGAGTAGGTTTGAATTTACTGCTGCTTTCTGCCAAGCCTGACCAGGCACTTGTAGGTTTCAACAGTCCAAATTCCTTGAATCCAAGTTTCTTTTCAGCATTTATTTGATCTCTGAGCACAGATTTAAAAAAATTCTTCTGGTTTTCAGTTTTGGGAGCAGTTTTTGCCTTAGCAGTAGGAATCATTGTAGCCTTGATGTCTGATTTACTGCTAACTACATGTGACACAGCCAACACACTAGTTTTACTAGTTTCATCAGGCTTATTGGTCTGTCCTAATGCTTTATTTGGGAATGCCTTAATTAGAGCGATTTCTGCAGGGTTCTCTCTCACGGCTGCCATAATCTTACCCAATTTTTCTGCAACCATCTTAACGTCATTCTTTTCAGCCTCTTCTGTTCCTGCTTGTAGATCTATTCTGGTTTCCTTGGTAGTAAGGTCAGTGTTTTCACTCGCATCAGTGTTAGTTTCTTCAGAATTATCCTTTTTACTCACTGCCTTCTCATCACCAGAGGAAACTCTTGGTACTAAAGTCACAACACAAGCAGCTGGCATTATTTCTGAAACTGTTTGTTTGTCCACTTCAGCTACAGCTTCTACAACAGACTGTGTAATTCCAGAAAAGAATTCTGCTTCAGATGGAGATTGTTCTAAATTGTCTTTGATGTTCCTTTCTTCCATAAATGTACTGTCACATGCTGATAATTCTGTTTCAGTATTAATTTCTGCCTGGTCTTTCTCACAGTTGCTGGAAGAGACCTGCTTATTTAAAGCAGGCTTCTCTAAATTTTCAGTTAACAGTGCAATACTAGTGGGAGTGGGTGTGAAAAGAGGAATTTCTACTTTGATCTCCCCTTCTTGATTTTCATCTTCCAATGTCTTAAGAGAAAAGTCAAAATCACAGAGTGCTTTTCCAGGATCTTCCTCGTAAGGCTCTTCTTGCTGTACCAAAGTTTCTGTTTGTTTCCTAAGAGTGTTTTCTTCATCAACCTCATTGGGTTGAACTGAGTTGAAATCAGTTGCTGTCTGTACCTCAGTTTCATTAACTGGACTGTTTCTCAAATCAGGGCTGAAAGTATTTAAAAACAAACACACACACACACAAAATCAAAGTATGATGAGAATTCAACCATTATAAACAATCCTACTTATGCCAATGACAAAGAATTCCTGATGCACCCAGCCAATCAGCAGAAAAATGGTTAAGAAGTTTTGTGTAAAAATGTAGAGTACAAAAATCTAAGAAATATTCTACCTCAGTGAAGAATTCTCTCATAAAGCAAAGAGTGGCTAAACTATGACAACTATATACCCATTTTACTCAAGTTATTTGTTTCTTACTGTGTTCAAGCTGCCAGATATCACAAGGCTGGATGTGAATCTGAGATATCTCAAGTTATATAATCTTACCCTCTCAATAGTTGTAATTAAAACAGTAAATTTTTTTATAGTTGTATAATAAAACTAATGCTCCATGCAGTGAAATTTACCTTTTAAGTGAGATTTAAAAAAAAAAAAAACAAAAATGTAACAGAAATTGGCAGGAGGAAAAAGTCATACTCTTAATCATATCCCTGTTTTCTTAAAAATAAAAGATTCATTTTTGTTTGAAAGGCAGATTTACAGAAAGAAAAAGACACAGAGAGATATCTTCCAGTCTGCTGATTCACTCCTCAAATGGTTGCAACTACCACAGTTGCAGACAACCAAAGAAAGGAGCCTGGAGCTTCTTCCAAGTTTCCAACATGGTTGCAAGGCTCAAGGACTTGGGCCATCTTCCACTGCTTCCCCAGGTGCATTTAGCAGTGAGCTAGATCAAAAGTGAAGCAGCAGGGATTTGAACTGGTGCCATATGAGATGCTGGCACTGCAGGCACAGGCTTAATCTACTATGTACAGTGCTAGCCATGAACACATATAACTTTTTAAGATGTGAAATGCATCAGCTTTTAACATCCCAAGAATTGTGCTGACTGGTCTGTTCTTATCAAATCTTTTTCAAATCAAAAGAGAACAAATGGTTATAATTTTGTGATTTCATTACTTTGAATGAGGCAAAGACAGAATGAACCATTTTTGTTCATATGGATCAGAATGAACCATTTTGATCCATAATGTTCAATGGATCAGAGACTATCTTAAGTAATAAGTAAAATCTTAGCTTCTGAAGATAATATTTAGCATTCCCTCAACATAAACTTAACAAATAAACTTAACACCCACAAAATTACACGTGAAAACAGGTTAGAGACAGATACCTAGAAGGTGATTAAACCATAAACACCTTGTAGTAAAGAGTAACAACTTTGTTCCTGTTTTTCAAAAAAGGTATAAGCCATTCCCTATAACATACTTCATAAAGGGTGGCCAAATATCCTTAAGAAAGCAACATACTATGTATTTATGTCCTGAGCAGATGTTAATTGTATTTTAGAAATTTAAAAAAAGTGCTGCACCATTAGGATGGTCAAAGAACTGAAAATCCATCACTTCCAAAGACTGTAAGTTTAAAGATTTCAAAGAAAATTTTCCTTTTAGAACTGAGAAATAGGTCTCAATCAAAATTTGTACATGCATCATTTACACTGAATACTTGGCAATCACAGACCTTGGTCGATTCAGATTCTATTAACCGCAAGCTAAAGAGGTTATTTAAACAATTTATGCCCTTTTATAATCAAATATCAAAGACTAATTTTAGTGTTCCAAAGCCTTAACAATATGCAAAATAAAATTTGTTGTCAAGCAAATGTCAAACAGTTCTGGCAATTACTCTTGCAACAGTTATGTAAATGCAATTTTTAAGATTTATTTTATTTTTATTGGAAAGGCGGATATACAGAAAGCACAGGCAGAGAGGAAGATCTTCCATCTGATGATTCACTCCCCCAGGCGGTCGCAATGGCTGCAGCTGAGCCAATCTGAAGCCAGGGGCAAGGAGCCTCTTCCAGGTCTCCCACACAGGTGCAGGGCCCCAAAGCCTTGGGCCGTCCTCGCCTGATTTCCCAGGCCACAGGCAGGGAGCTGGATGGGAAGCGGGGCTGCTGGGACTAGAACCGGCACCCATATGGGATCCCGGGCATGCAAGGCGAGGACCCTAACCACTGCGCCATCGCACCAGACCCATAAATGCTATTTTTAATAGTAAACTTTTGTTTTTAAATAGCAAAATTCATTTCCCATAATGAATATCAAATTCATTACTGAACTAAATATTAACCCTAAAGGCATTTCAATTTTGGCTATAAAGACATCTATTGGACAGAAAAATAATGAAGATATTGGTTCCCATTTAAACCACACAGCAAGTTTTCTCCTTTACTACTAAAAAAAATTACTATTTTTGCACGAACCATTGTGTAGTGTCAACCTTACACAGAAAACAAAGATCTATGCGAAAAATGATTGAATTTTATATCTGTTTTGTGTGGTTTTCAAAAATATAGTTGTTTATAGAAATCATTTACAACAAATTTGTATTTGTTTTCATATGTGAGCAAAGTACCAACAGTGATCAAGATAGTTTGAAAACTCAGTTTGTCAAACAAATGACAGTGCTAATACTAGAGTTACACAGTGAGTCTTTTTTTTTTCTTCTTTCAAGGAAAACAATGTTATCTATTGGGAAATAACACAAAAAAAGAATCTAAGGAAGGTTTCTGATTTCTTACTGTCCATCTCCCATTAACACCAGAATTCTAGACTGTTAGAAAAGGCATTTGAATAAAGGTTAATACCCTAAGACACATATCCAAAAACTTTAGACTAGGACTTCACATTAGTGAAGATGAGTGTTAATTTCACAGCTATGCAAGTGTTTGCCAGCATTAATGAATTAAGGAAATTTCATCTAGCCACTTATTTGAAGTTTTAAACACATGATAAATGAATGATATTTACTACAAACTAGGCATAGTACAAAAATAGTAATTATTAGTAACTTACAAAGCATCCATATGATAGCCTCTGAAGAGGAAATTTACTTAAAGTTTAATCATAAACAAAAGGATCACATTCATGATCAGCTGGCAACCACAAGTACTTAAAAAAAAATACCACAAATATATTCTCAGTATCAGTTTACAACATAGTATAGTGTTTGGGCAGTATCCCATATCTTCTTCTCTAATAATTATAACATGGAAAAAAACTGACAGAAAAAAAAATAAGAAAAAAATTAAGAAACCCACTGCTATTTGGGTTTTTGCTAACCATGTAGGAGACCCAGACTGCATTCCAGGCAGTCCAGATTCTGTTCTGGCTGTTGTAAGATTTGGGAAGCGACTTGGCAGGTGAAAAATGTACAAGATCTCTCTCCCTCACTCTCTGCCCCTCTTCCTTTGTCTTTCCAATAAAAAAAAAAAAATGTAAAAGCACAAGAGGCATAACCCAGTTAAGTTATCCACTTCTCAAATTGAGTCCCTAAGCTGCATACCTGTCTCTGGCTGTGTTCCCAGCTACTGGCTTCAGTTGGGCCTTGGCTGCTGTAAGCATTTGGGAGTTTTAACTGACCTGTGGATGGGAGCACTTCTATTTTTTTCCAGAACTCAATAAAATAGATAAACTGAATTTTGGGAAGAGCATACTTACTCAGCAGCAGTAGTTACAGCTAAGTTGTAAATCTGTCTGCACTACCCTGTAAGGCCCAGCCAGGGCGGGTGAGGGATGGCCTAGGAGAAAGCTGAGAAGGGTGGCTGATAAGGCCGCACCAGGAGAAGGCAGCTTCCTCCTCAGCCAGCAGTCCAGCAGCGACACATGGATCCACCAAAGTCAAAGGGAGCCTTTGACAATCTAGAAGGCACATTCCCTTGTTACCCCAACCACAGCCCCCTAATAAAAACAATCCCATAATGTCCTCTGGACACGACTTCCCTGGACCGCTGTCTATACCAGTCCAGTGAACCTCGCCCAGGAGCATTCTCAATAAAACTTATTTTAAGCTGAACTCTATTCTGTGTGGATTTCTGGCTCTGAACATGACCTCCAACCTTACATACCCTAAGAGGTACTGTTATTTATGAAATGCTAAATAGGCTGTAGTAACAAACATGACAGGTGGTATGATGTTTTGGAGAAACGAATGCAATTGCAAACCTTTTGATAGAGTTACCAATGTACTAACAATATTTTTTTATCATCTAAACTACCGTGACTCTTTAACAATCATTTACCAGGGGTGGCACTGTGGTGTAGTACATAACTGGCATCCTATGATGGTAGTCATTCGAGTTTCAGCTGTTCCATTTCCAATCCACTTCCAACTGGCTCTACTAACGGCCCAGGAATGAAGCAGAAGATGGCCCAAGTGCTTGGTGATGCCTGGACCCGCCTATGTAGGAGACCCAGATAAAGTTCCAGGCTCATGGCTTCAGTTCGATACAACCCTGGCCATGATAGCCACTTAGGGAGTTCTCTCTTTCCCTGCTCTTCCTCTACATACTTTTGCTTTCAAATAAATAAATCTTTAAAAAATTTACTTAGGAAAAAATCCATTAAGACATTTTGCTTCTTAGGAATCTCAAAATCACGCATCAAATAAGTTCTACATTTAAAAACAAATTCAATTGCTATTTCAAACTTGTAACATGGGCCGAGAAACACTGGTGAATCAGTTAGTATAGAAGTGAAAAGAAATATCCCATTGTGTAATTTAAAATGAAAACAGTGAAAGGCAAGTTATAAACTGGTGGGACAAGGGTGCTGGCAAGGAGGGGATCTATCAAAACAAAACAACTGGCAAAGAGTGTCCTGTACGTGGCCAAAACAAGGCTGTAAACCCCTAATTTGTCAGATCTGAAAAACAAATTTTCAGTCCCTTATTTAACTTTTGTTATTTAACTTTTTTTGGACAAAAAATTCTTCAACTATAACTGATTTTAACTACTACCAAAATACACAATGAAAGTTATCACTTTGTTTTAATTTAGTGAAATTTTAAACAGATACAAGTATTACTGTATTTACTTATTTTTGGAACACACACACAAAAAAATCACAAAAGTATAATACAGCTTAAAGTTAACAACATTTTGAAAAGATTTTATAAGGATGTAATATTTATGTATCTAATTCAATCTGTTTTAACATGTAATTTCTTCATTAGAAAATACCTGGATGGGATTGAGAAAGCAACAAAACCATATATCAAACATAACCATGAAAGAAACTCACAAAAAACTCACACATACACAAAATAAACTTGTAAGATAGAAACTTTGCTAGAGTAACTGCTTGAAATGCAGAAACAAAACATGTACACAAACTCACGTGAACATATATACTCTTTTTTTTGAAAGATTTCAAAAGTATCTTTTTTTAAATTTATTTTTTTATTGTTAATAAAAACATATATACTCTTAAAAAATATGAACAAACTTAAACCAACATACCTTTCTTTTCCTAGTCCTTGGTCATTCTCAGTTTGAGGCTGTAACATAATTGACATTTTATTAGAGGCAAGTGTACTGAAATTAGATATATTTCACCTATCTATGAAACACTCTTAGTGAAAATACAAAAACAACATCTAGAAACATGTAAAAACAAGCAGTTATTAGTGTCTACTGAACTACTGGGTTCCAGAATTTTTCTCTTTAAAGGCTACTTAAGTAGAATATACAGAATAACAAACAAATAATAACTCATGAGAAAACAGAAATTTTTGAAAGTTTGGAAGTCTGCATATATTATCTTCACAGAATAAAAACAAACCTGAAATACCTACAATTTTGTTATGATTTTATTGATAAATTTGTACTTTTAAGAGATTTAAAAAAAAAATTTGAAATGCAGAACTACAGAAAGAGGTATCTTCAATCTGCTGCTTCACTCCCTTAAATGGTTACAAAGGCCACACCTAGGCAAGGAAAATGCCAGGAGCCAGGAGCCTCATCCACCTCTCCCACATGGGTATAGGGGCCAAGTATTTGGTCCACCTTCCACTGCTTGCCTAAGCATATGAACAGGGAGCTGGAGTGGAAGCAATGTAGTTGAAACCCAAACTGGTGCACATATGGGATGCTGGCATTACAGATAATGGCATTATTTCTATACCAAAATGCCAGCCTCGAGGGAGATCACTTGAGCCATGGGCCCCAGGCTGGGCCTGGCTTGAGTCTTTTGATCTACCCATGTGGCATGCTCTGGGTACCTGGAGGTGTGGGTTTACAAGAAGTCTGGGGAATGGCACATGTGGGGGCAAGCGGGGACCTGAGGTTTTATGCCCAGGTGAGAAATGACTACTGACTGACTTCCACAGAAAAGGCCACTGTACCTGTAGGTAAGTGAGGGAGCTGAGACAAGCAGTTGGGAGAGGGGAACAGGAGGACCTTTATTAAGGGTCAGACTGAAGCACCAACATTTGTGGGTGACCTGAGCTCAGGTAGGTAGCATTAACTACCACCAAATTCCTCTCACAGGCACACATATAAGCTAGGGCTAGGGGCCTAACTGGCAAGGCTAGATAACAGTACCCACCAGTGAGTCAGAACAGGGGATGAATAATATTAGACTGGGCCATGACACTAACCAGGAGGCGAGAGAACCAGGTCTGGAGGCAGTGAGAGTCAAGAGTAGGTGTAGAATGGGATAGGCTAGGTTTCAGCTTCTGCTGAACCACGTGAGAGCTGTGTCTGGATGTGGATCAGGTGTGGCTGGGCTGTAACACCCAACAGTAAGAGCTGGAATGAGTGTGGGCCAGATGGGTAAGGACACTATTCCTGTCAGGACAAGAGGTAGACTAAGTCAACCTGGGCCAAGAACCCACCAGTATGTGTGAGATCTGCTACTGGGAGGAGACTTGACAGAGGAGCTTGGGGAGCTCCCTTTGTCAGGACACAGTCCCTGCAGGTGAGTGCAGGAACCAAAGCCAGGAACAGCCCATACCAGGCCAGGCTGGACCAGTGCATAATATCCACTGGCAGATCTGAGAACCAGGACAGGGTGCAGGAGGGGCAGGAACACCAGCCAGTTCACATTAGGGTTGGGACCAGGGACTGGCTTGGCCGAGCTAGGCTGTAGCACCCACTAACATAAGTGGAATCAGGCACAGACTGGATGGGCCAGGTTACAGCACCTATCGGCAAATGCCGAGGTGAGGCAGGCCAGGCCAGACTCGGCTGTAGCATTCATCAGTACAAGTGAGACCTGAGGGCAACATGTGAGACCTGAGGGCAGGGGTGCAAACCTGGTAAGGAGGCAGTATGGACTCCCTGCTGGGCCAATGCTCCCACTTGTAAGCATGAGAAATGAAACTTGGGGCAGATCAGGCCAGGCAGGATTATTACACCTGTTGGCCTGCATGTGAACTGGGTTAGAGGGAGAGCCAGGCTGGGCTGACTGACTATATCCACGAATACATGTATGTGAGCCAGAATACATGTATGTCTGCGGGCTGGTTGGGCTTAGCCACAGCATCAGCTATCAAGCGCTGGGATTGGGGGCAATTCCTGTCAAGGCAGAATGCAGAACCACGTGCAGAGTGCAAGATCTGGGACTGGGAGAGAGACCAGTAAGGGATTTTCGGCACCTCTCTGATGGACTGCATCAAGAATCCTTGAGCCCAGGCTCGACACTGTGGCCTAGCAGCTAAAGTCCTCGCCTTGAATGCGCCGGGATCCTGTATGGGCGCTGGTTCTAATCCCAGCAGCTCCACTTCCCATCTAGCTCCCTGCTTGTGGAATGGCAAAGTGGTTGAGGAAAGCCCAAACCTTGGAACCATGCACCCACGTGGGGGCCTGAAGGAAGTTCCTGGCTCCGGGCTTTGAACTGGTGCAGTGCCAGCTGTTGCAGCCACTTGGGGAGTGAATTATCAGAAGATTTTTCTCTCTGTCTCTCCTCTCTGTATATCTGACTTTGCAATAAAAATAAGTAAGTCCTTTAAAAAAAAAAAAAAGAATCCTTGAGTCTACCTGCATGGTGGGTGCCAGGTTCATGAGCCCTGGGGAAAGGGGATCCAGTGGGGCCCAGATAGCCTGGCATAGATCCTTGGGCCTGCAAGCCCCAGGGGCAGGGGGTCCAGTAGGACCCAGGTCACCTGTGCAGTGGTTGCTGGGTCTGTGAGTCCTGGGGGTGGGGGATCCAGTGAGGCCCAGGTGAGGTGGCTCAGGGTGACAGTGGCGCTTAGGAAATGGCACAGGTGGGGTCATGTGGGCACCTGAGGTCTCATGTCCAGGAGTGATGGTCTGATCATGGAGTGCATGTGTCAGAACTGGGTTTTCTCAGTGGAAAAGATGGAGTAGTGGATGGCAGGGCCAGTTTCACATGAAAGATATGGCAGTGCATTGGGACCTGCAGAGGACATCTGGTACCATGGCAGAGGAAGGAGGACAGAACAAACTGGACAAGTACCCCAGCCAAATGATGAAAACAAATATCTGGGTGGATGGAGACTCTAAGGTCGACTAAGTCAGCCAATGGACATTAGAAGGATTTCCTCATCCTTGGATTGGAGAGATCCACAGCATTTTACAACTATTGAAATCACTTAAGCACAACTCTCGGAACATGCTCCACACTCGGGACCCTGAACTGATATCAGGTGGCTGGTCACCATCCCTGAGTACTGGGGTGGTTAGGAGGCTCAGTATGGCTTCTCCCCTTATCTCCCCTCTTCCTCCAGTTACAGGAAGAAGAGAGAAAATTTGGAAACAATGATCACACCTACTTTTCCCTAATTCTTGATCCTTCACTCCCTGATCAACAATGTAAACATTATCAAATATAAAAACAAGAAATTTAACAAAAAAGATCACCTGTGCTGAAAGTTTCCTAATCAATGTTGTGGTACAATGTGTTAAGCAGCCATCTGTATGAGCACTGGTTTGAGTCCTAGCTGTTCCACTTCCAAGCCAGCTCTCTGTGAATGCACTGGGAAAAGCAGCAGACAGGGCTCCAGCGTTTGGCTGCTACCACCCATATGGGAGACAGGAACAGTATTCTGTGTTCCTACCTTTGTCTTGCCAGGACATTAAGGTTGTTTAGGGATTCAATTAGGAGATGCAAGATCCATCACTCTCCCTTTTTCTGTTAATTCTACTTTTCAAATAAATAATTCTTAAAACAGAATATGACAAAACTAAAAGCATAAATGCCAATACAAAATATAAACAAACAAAAGAACAAAAAAAACAAAACTCACCTCTGTTGAGTCTATTTTTGGAGATAATGTGCAGATTAACATATGGTCTCCTATATTCTGTGGATTATCTTTCAGAAAGCTGTACATTGATTGAGCAGACTCAGGACTATCTAACTGAAGAATTGCCTTCGGAAAAGAAAAAAAAAAAGCATGACTATTCCCCTAAAAAATTACAAGTTTAAAATTACTATAGAAAATTACTGCATTATTTAGCAATCTCACTTTTCTGTATGTACCAAAGAGAGAATTTAAAATAGAATTTGAATATACATTTATACATTATACATATATGTGTATATATACACAATATACATATATGTACATATATACAATATACATTATACATATACGTATATACAATATACATTTATACATTACACTCCTGTTCATATTCACAACAGAAAAAAATACAATCTAATAGTCCACAAACAGGTAAGTGGATAAAACAATATGACACAAGCATACAATAGATTTTAAGCCTAAAAAAGGAGAAAAATTCTGACAGATGTTGAAACACAAATGAATCTAGAAGACATGCTTAGAATTACACAAACATGAGATAACTAGAATAGTTAGATTCATAAACAGAATGACAACTTGAGTCAATTAGGACTTGAGACAGGAAGGTTCAGGTTAAGAAATGCAAGATTCAGTTTTGGAAACAGATGGAACAATGACTTTACACTGTGAATGTATTCAATGCCTCTGAACAGATACATGAACACACTCAAAATATTAAGCTTATATTTTACAAACACAAATTTGTATTTTAATCACACTGAAGTTTTTTAGGCTTTTTAGAAAACTGAATATATTTTTTGCTTTAGTTTTTACTTCAGGATCCAGATATGTGACTACAGAGGCTAAATTATGCAAAATTAAAGATGAAGGTTAATACGTTTCAGGAGATTTACCCCTGTATTATAAAAACACCTGAAAGTATGTCATCACAAAAATCTAAAGTAACAAAAGCAGGAGGGAGGGTAGGGTAGAGTAGGAAGTGTTATCATTATGGTCTTAAAATTGCACATACAAAATCTGTAACCCTTTTGTGACTATAAAAATTTCAAGGATAAAGAATGCTTTTAAAAGCAAAAGTTCAAAATTCTTACACACCATCCGTGCCTACCGTCTTTCCTTCAGGGATCAGTGATATATCGCTTAGCAGGTAAAGTCAACACCTGTGGCACTGGCATCCCATGCAGGTGCTGGTTTGAATCCTGGCTGCTTTATTTCCAGTTCAGCTCCCCACTGGGAGAGCAGGGGAAAACGTCCAAATGCCTGGCCCCCTACAACCCATGTGGGAGACCTGAAACAAACTGCTGGATCCTAGTTTTGGCCAAGCCATTGTATACATCTGGAGTGTGAACCAGCAGATGTGAGATTCTATCTATGTGCCTGGCTCTAACTTTGCCTTTCAAATAAATATACATCTTCAAAACAATACAGAAAGGAAGTACAATCATGATTACTTATACTTCTTTCCACAAAAAAATAAACAGACTTAACTATATGTCTTTTAGTTGGAATTGACTTAAAGACATAGCTAGCAATAAACCTTAATTTTACAAATAAGCATAAACTGAGCCAAGGTAAAAAAAAGTTAAGAGCAAAATCGCCTAAACATCCCAGTAAAATAATGCTCTCTGTACTATACTGTGTTTTATTTTCCTTAACGTCATATCTTCTATCTTGTTACAGTCCGGAAGAAAATATCCTAAAATAATGTAACTCTAGTGTAAGCAGTTACGTTATGCTAAATGTTGTTTCAGTTCAAAAGATGAATTACAAGTTGTAGATCCTAAGAATTATTGGATTCAGTTATATATTCTCCAGACTATAGTAAAATAGTAGGGAAGTTGTTACCTTATTTTTATTATTCATGAATACATGGTGATCTACTTTTCCAAACTGAAGTCCAACACAAAGTACACACTGAAGTCCATCTTCTGGTAAATTATCAAGATGTACAAGTCTACTATAAATTTCATCAATATTTGCCTATATTTTTTCAAAGAGAGTATTAAAAAAAAAGCTGTAACATCAAACTGTGTAAATACATGAACAATGATTTAACATTACAGATGGTAAAGTATTTGTCATAGCCATTAGGATATAGCCTGGGACAATCTGCATCCAATATCAGGGTGCCCTGGCTTCAAGCCTGGTTAGGCATCCAATTCCAGCTTCCTGCCCAGGTGTATGCTGGGAGATAGTAGATAGGTTAGGTACTTGGGTCCTTGCCACCTTTGTGGGAAAACCCAAATGAGTTCCCAGATCCTGGCTTTGGCATACCTCAGTATTAGTTATTGCAGGTATTCGGGGAATAAAATATTAATGAGATATGTATATCTGATTTTCAAGTAAAATAAATCTATAAAAATACACTGTCCTCTCTTAAGATTAACAAAACAACTATATGAGTAAAGACAGTGAAGTAATCAGCAAAAAAATATAGTGCAACAGGAGACAGAACACCACCAATGTAACATTTCCCCAAAACATCCTCAATAGTATTTGGAGGACTTTTTCCACATCAAGGATCACTATGACACTTTCTTTTTTTACCAAAAAGGCAACACATTTGACAACTCCAACACCCTCAGTATCTTACAACTGTTACTAAAGATTTTCTCTATTTATTAAGAGAGGAACAAATAAAACTAAGGTTTCAGTCAACTAAACAGGGGTAACAAATTAATTACAGGCAAAACTTACATTTGGGTCATTTTCTTTAATTAAGGTTGTAAATACAGCTTCCTAAAAAGTCAAATCATGCAAAATTTAGAAGTGTTGAATCCTTTAGCATTCATATACTTAGTCAAGATATATAATAATAATCTACATAAATATGTATCACAAAGTATTATAAAAGTTTTTCCAAATTTTATGCATTTCCATCATAATCATGTCATACACCTTAGCAGTTTAGTCAATATTTATAGGCCGCCAAAACACTGAAGGACTTGATACCACCTGAAGTTGACTCGGAACAGATTCGAATTGTGTATCAGTTCCACAGTTTGTGGAAAAAGAGCCATGAGGAAAGCAGAAATGAAGGCAGAAGGTACAAGGAATAATTATTCTAGGTGTTCAACACAAATTTCTAAGAAATGAAGCCATTTTAGATGGCGTGAGGTAGAGGAAACAAAGCACACAAGTAAAAAAATACATATCTACTATAAACGAAATATATCCACTATAAATGAAATTTAATAAATTAGAGAAAAAAAATTAAAATCTAGAAACTCCAGTTTAAATAACAGATGATGCCATTGAGATTGGAGTGTTGAGGAGATAGAGGGCAGGGTTCCTCATCATAAAAGTTAACTCAGGAGTATAATGAATTATTAGAAGGACATGAAGGCCTTTTCTCAGTGCCTGAGAGAAAAAGAAAACTACGAAATGTAACAGATTAAATCTGGTAAGAAATCTCATAAATATGTTACCTCATCTTTTATATTCATATTTTCAGGAGCCACACTTATTAAGAGTTGATTTCCATCCATGGATATTGGGAAACAGGTGTAAAATTTTACCATAGAGTCTGCAGCTTTTCTAGTTATTTCTATATATGCCTTTAAAATAGAAATTACAAGAATGAAACAAAATTGTTTTCAGTTATTTATTCTTGGAAGGATTCAATATTTGAGTCAAGTAAGAGTAAATATTTGTAAAAATTTATGCATTCCCATAGGCTAAGAATACTAAAATTATAAGAAAAAATTGAACAAACTGAGAAACTAATATTAAAGACAAAAATAAGAACACTCTAGTACTTTGTAACTCACATTATGTGCTTTCTTATTCACTACTGTATCCTTAGTACCTAAATATTTCTTAAACTAAAAAATGTATAATGATTGGCAAGTTGCTATTTGTATTTTGCTGTTTTTGTAAATATAAAATTGGAGCTTCAACTATTTTAATTATTGTACCTAAGAAGTTGAACTTTCTTTCATGTATTTGATAACAAATAAATATTCCATTCATTTACTGCTGCAAATCCATGTTTTAATGAATTATCTGACATTTACCATTATTTTTTAAAGATTTACTTATTTTTATTGGAAAGGCAGATTTACAGAGAGAAGGAGGGACAGGGAGAAAGATCCGTCCATTGGGTTACTCCCCAAGCGACTGAACAGCCAGAGCTGAGACAATCCAAAGCAAAGGGACAGGAGCCTTCTCAGGGTCTCCATACAGATGAGGATCCCAGGGTGAAGAGAATAGTACTCATATGGGATCCTGGTGTTTGTGACGATTCTGCCATTGTGCCAGGCCCCATTTACCAATTTATTCCAGTTTAATATAATAGCACAGTGTTTCATATATTACATAATTTAAATGTTACTTCTGTTAACTTTTTTTTTTTTTTAAAGATTTATTTTTTATTATTTTTTCATTGGAAAGGCGGATATACAGAGAGGAGAGACAGAGAGGAAGATCTTCCATCCGATGATTCACTCCCCAAGTGAGCGCAACGGCCGATACTATGCCGATCCGAAGCCAGGAGCCTCTTCCGGGTCTCCCACGCGGGTGCAGGTTCCCAAAGCTTTGGGCCGTCCTCGACTGCTTTCCCAGGCCACAGGCAGGGAGCTGGAAGGGAAGCGGGGCTGCCGGGATTAGAACCGGCGCCCATATGGGATCCCGGGCGTGCAATGCAAGGACCTTTAACCACTTGCGCCACCGCGCCGGGCCCTCTGTTAACTTTTTTAACGTCCTGTTTACTTATTTCACTTTCCAGTGAACATGTGCTAAGAATATTAAATGTTAAAAGTCTAGAAATAAGCGTTTTAACTTTAACTCAAAGTTTTAAACTTTGAGTTATTCTGAGTAATGTAATGAAAATATCATTTCTGTTCTGCTCAGGACATAAATGATCCCTTTGTTCTGTGTATTCACTGGCTAATTAGCAAATGTTGAATCATGTAAAACCCAAATGGACTGTCTTTTTTCTTACTGTTTTCTCAAGGACAATTACTAATCATCACCAAACTCATATTCTACTCTGCTTTCAAGAAACTCATGTATTTACTTCCTTCTATTGTAAAAACAATATTTCCCAGCACTCTAATAGTTAGTTCCATCACTTAAACTCATTTTTCAATTCTTATACAAAATATCCCCGTAAAGTTGTATTATTTTAAATTTGACTGTATTATTTTAAAACACACAAAAAATGTATATTGATAGAAAACTTAGAACCTGGGTCATTCTCTAAGTACTGATATCATTATTAGTTTGAGTATTGAAAAGGTTATTTTCCACTTGAATATCATCAGTAACACTGCATTTAAAATATTAGTGAAAATGATCTACAAAATGTTATTACTTTAAAATTGTTACATTACACATGTATAATCTTAAGTAAAATCTTTAACAAACTTTACACATCTTACTATTATTCCACAGTATTAAAACGATTTCTGTTTAGATCCAACATAAAATATATCTATTCTACATTTTAGATATTCCTTAGCTTGAAAAAAACTTAATTTAAGATACTTTTAAAGTTTTTCTTTCCTATTTTTCTAATTTAATGTTTTTCAAAAAGTGCTGCAACACAGTAGGAATACCTATTACCAACTCTTACCTTTTTATGAGATGATAAAATCAAGATATCCTTTAAACCACCAAAGGGTTTTGCCAAGTTATGAATTTCTTCTACAGAATATCCTTTATTAGGCAAATTTGAAATAAGCACCACACACATTTCCTCTGCTTCCTTCAAAATAAATTTGAAAAACTGCAATTAAAATTTAGCTGGTTTAGATTTACTTAAGTTTTACTGTACATCACAGGTTAATTAGTACATACACTGAATTTGATATTCAGGCAAATTTGACTAACTGGGCAGACTGATCTGAATTTCAAATTAAAAACCATATGTCTTCCACATTGAACAAATTTTTATATTCTTCAAGTATAGGAAATTCAAGCACAGTAGTACTGAGTCCAGATTCTTAAGTCTTTTTCACTTTTTGCTTTAAAATCCAAATTCACTTATCTCTGACTACCATGCATTTCATGTGTTGTCATCATTCTTGTGCCACTGCATTACTGTAGTAACACCCACAAACTCCAAATCAGTAGGTATTCTTTAATCTTCCAGGAAAAAAAAAATTATTACTTTTGGGCATTATCTCCTTAGAATCCTTACCACACACTTTATTCTGTTGTAAAATTAAGCAGTATTTTCCTATCAAATATCCTCTCAGGTCTATTTGGTTATTCAATATGATCGGTTGTTACCAATGACTACTTTTCCACTGGAAGTGTTTGAAAAATCTTTAGAAAAGATCTACAGTAAAAGGCTTTACTAGTGTTTTGCTTAAAAAAAAAAAAGGAAGTTTTCATTGTCATGAATCAGCTGGAAGTGATTCCTGTTATGTCAGCATATTCATAAACGGTCCCCTCTCTAAAGGGCTTTCTGAGAAGCCATCTGGTTGATGCTTTCTAATACTTCCTAGAATAAGACAAGTACTTATCTGCAACTCAAGGAATGGAGCTGGCAAACAAAAATACACTTGTGCTTAGCATTTAAATAATGGCAAAAACCCAAACTGGTAACATCTAAATTAATGATTTTGTTTCTAATGTCAGACATTATAAGAAAGCAATAGGATTACATTAATACTTTTCAAATAAAACTGCAAATCGTACTTGTTGCTTTCAAAATATAACAAAACAATCCAAACTCCAAATATTAGTAAGTAGCCCATTTGATTCTTGGAGAGAAAAAGCCATCACAAAATTTCTTGGTTCTAATGTGATAAACTGTTGTGTACCCAAAAACTAATTTTGAACTAATATTCTCAATGAAAAAGTGACCTTTAATAACATGTTCATCTGTTGATCATGTTATTAAATCTGTTTCCCTTAGTCATTCCAAATTTTTGAACTGAAACATACTTAAAGAATCAAAACAGGAAACGCATAGTTTCAACACTAAACTGTTAACTTGATTTTTAAAACTGTCAAAAATTTAAGTTTTATAGCATTAAGCAAAATGCAAAAACTGACCTTAACTGGTTCATTCTCTGTGGTATCCAAAGCAGCTGAATACAAAGCAATAAAAAAAAAAAAATTAATGCAGATATACTTTATCAAGATCTCTACAGGTTAAACAAGAGCTATCTGAAATATATACAGCATGCAACACTTAATTAGCAGCAAGCAGCTATAAAAGTGACAATGGCTTTTAAAAAGCATTCAAATTTATTTACTGTGATATAATAAAAACAAAACAAGGTAAAGAAATTAATCATAACATTTTCCTTACATAGTAGAGAGCAGGATTATAGCAGGTACTCTAATTTTCAATGATGTAGTTGTAGGTGCTCCATGAATCGTAAAATTTTTTATTTTATTTAGGTATAGATGTTCATTTTTGCTGGAGGGGGGATGTGTATGTGTGTATGCATTCATAGTGATACAACAGAATTAAATACCTCTGTTCCTAAAATTTCAGTTTTTCTCCGCCTATTGACCTACCTGAAACAGACTGTTTAGCAGAGTTTTCTGTGACTTTGGCCTCCACGTCAGCCAGTGTTTCTGAGGTTTCTGCATGAAAAGGTCTGCTTTAGTAGTCTAGAAAAACACTAACATAATTCAACTAATGAACAGTCACTTTAAGACAGTTTATCACACTAGATCTCCTCAGGGTGATTTAACCGAAAAACAATCCTTTTGAAGATTTTCATGCAAACTACAAGATACACAAGGAAAATAGTAAACTACTGAAATAACAACATTTCAAACTTACCTGATACAGTCACAGGTTTACTGGAATCTTTACTTTTGATATTCCCAGCCTTTTTTGCTTCGAGGGACTTCTTTCCGGTAGATTTTGCTTTTAAAGGTAGAATCAATCCATTATTTCAATAGTCTGCTAATCATGCAACACGTTTTATGCTAATATATTAGTGAACAGGTAGTGGTTTATTGCAAAAACAGTCCTTCCTCCATTTACTTTTCTGTTTACTTTCAGTGTTAGATTAAAAACAAGTTTATGATGTAATTTTTAGTTGACATCCAACAAATTCAAACTTCACAAAAGGAGGACATCATAAGAATACACCCCAAAGTTCACATTTGTTTTTCTGAAGAAAGTTCTTTAAGGGTAATCAACTAAAACTTATAATACTAAGGGCAACCACTGTGGCAGAGCACATTAAGCTCTGTCTGTGACTCCGGTATCTTATATGGGCATTGCCTCATGTCCTGGCTGCTCCACTTGTAACTAGGCTCCTTGATGATGTGCCTAGGAAAAGCAGCAGAAGATGGTTCAAGAACTTGGGCTTCTGCACCCACATGGGAGACTTGGAAGAAGCTCTGGGCTCCTGGCTTCTGCCTGACTTAGCCCTGGCAGTTGCAGCCATTTATGGAGTGAAGCAGTGGACGGTGGATTCTCTTTCTGCCTCTCCTCTCTCTGTAACTCTTCCAAATAAGTAAAAAATAAATTAAAAAACGCACACACACACACACAGAGACATACAGATGGTGTACATATATATATAAAAGATTATGGTAGTTACAACATGCTACATTGATTTTTTTTTCTTTTTTTCAGATTTATTTTTATTGGAATGGCAGATTTACAGGGAGAAGGAGAGAAAAAGATCTTTCACTGGTTCACTCCCCAAGTGGCGCAATGGCCAGAGCTGAGCCAATCCGAAGCCAAGAGCCAGGCACTTCCTCCAGATTTCCTATGTGGGTACAGGGTCCAAAGGCTTTGGGCTGCCCTCAACTGCTTTCCAAGGTCACATGCAGGGAGCTGAATGGGAAGGAAGTAGCAAGGACATAAACAAAGCCCATTTAGAATCTTAGTGCATGGATTAACTCAGCCACAGTGCTGGGCCCACATTCATTTTCCATAGTATTCCACTGATTTAGGGAGAAAACTCTCTCCTAACAGGAAAAGAAGTAATCTTTCTAAAAGTAACAAACATCAGAGGAAGATAATATGAGTGACAGCTGTTAAGAATTGATGAGGAACAAAAAAAAAACTAATGAGGAACAAAAAAACAAAGCTCCTACAGAAGGAAACTGATAGACCAGTCTGTGATTACATACCTGGGAAAAATGTAGTTACATAGTTGTGTAAGTACAGTGTATATACAATATCATTCAGCTTTGTAGCATCAAATTCTTAAAATGTTATTAGAAGCTAATCTAACTTACAAATTTAAAACTTGCTTTTGGTATATTAGATTCTTTGAGAGAACTAAGAGTAAACTTAACAACACCTTGCTTCTCCAATCTTACCTGTTTTGACTGATGCTTTACCTTTAGCAGCTACAGTTACCACAGATTTTACAGAACTTGCTGATTTCCCTAAATCACAAAAGTTGCTGTCAAAATTGGTTTACTTAACTAGCATGAGTAATCTCCAAATAAACTCACACAAAGACAATGAACAAATTCCATTCAAAATATTAAATGATATCATCTTTGGGGCACAGGCCACTTATCAAATCAAGCAATTATGTCACTGAAGGAAAGAATTTACTTAAAAACTGCATTCAGGCAGGTTAAGTAAACTTGTGAATGTGTTCATCAACCAGAAGAGAAATTACCAATTCCAAGGACATAAACACACACACACACACACACACAAACAAAAGCGAAGCTAATGATCACAAAAGCACTAACAGCCAGACCTACAATGATCACTTGCTTTTCTGCCAGTTGACTAAGAAGCATTCAAGAACATCTACCTAAGGTCAGGTCACATAATGTTTGTTTTCACCTACTGTTAGAACGTTTTAGCTATACAGTACTATTTAAATTGCTTTGTGCACTACCCATCACCTAGCTATTACATGTGCTTATTTTCCAAAACGATATTATTTACAGAATATGATCATCAAAGTTGCAGTAAAGATGATCAGAGCAGCAATAATCACAATCACAGAGCAACAAGAGACTTTAAATTTTGAAAATTCTAACTCATAATTATGAATAAAATATGAGGAAGAAATCAAAGGTCAGAAATAAGTAACTCTACTTGAAATCCCAAATTAAACTGAGAAGCCTTTAGTATTCACGAGATTTTGATGTACACTGTTCCATTATATAAACAAGGCTGTGACTGCTGTAACTACCTAACAAAAGAATTCTTGTATGGAAATTATAACTACATAAATATGTAAATAAATAGGAAGAATCACTGACATCCACAAAATTAACTGAGATAGTCTACAAGTCTATCCGCCATATTCAAAGATTCAAAGAGTAATACAAAGTCCTCCCTATTTACAGACTGCAGTTTTGATATCCATTGTTTCAGATAATCACAGTTAGTCACATTCTAAAATTAAAAAGTGGAAAAATTCTAGAAATAAACAGTTCATGAAGTTTAAAATTGTGCTCAGCTCTGAGTGCTATGATAAATTTTGTTCCAGGAGTGATTCCTTTGTTCAGTGAATCCTTGCTGTGTATGAGACTTTTCAAAATGTCTGTGGAAAACTAGATTTATGAGCGAGTTTATTTTGGTGTAAAAATTTCTGGTGATCCATGGTTAGTTTTCATATAACATATACTCACTGAGAATTTCAAAGACAACTTATATGAATAGATTTCAAGGTTTTGTTTTCCCCAGAATAAACTTTCTTCTTTTTGTTTTTTAAGATTTATTTTATTCTTGGGCCTGGCGCGATGGTGCAGTGGTTAAGGTCCTCACCTTGCACACCCAGGACCCCATGTGGGTGTCGGTTCTAATCCCGGCAGCCCTGCTTCCCATCCAGCTCCCTGCCTGTGGCCTGGGAAAGCAGTCAAGGACGGCCCAAAGCTTTGGGACCCTGCACCTGCGTGGGAGACCTGGAAGAGGCTCCTGGCTTTGGATTGGCTCAGCTCCAGCTGCTGCAGCCGCCTGGGGAATGAATCATTGGACGGAAGATCTTCTTCTCTGTCTCTCCTCTCTGTATATCCGCCTTTCAGAGAGGAGAGACAGAGAAGAAGATCTTCCGTCCAATGATTCACTCCCCAGGTGACTGCAAAGGCTGGTGCTGCACCGATCCGAAGCCAGGAGCCAGAACTTCCTTCAGGTTCCCCACATGGGTGCAGGGTCCCAAGGCTTTGAGCTATCCTTGACTAATTTCCCAGGCCAGAAGCAGGGAGCTGTTTGGGAAGCAGGGCTGCTGGGATTAGAACCGGCATCCATAAGGGATCCTGGCACATTCAAGGCAAGGACTTAAGCCACTCGGTCACTGGGCTGGGCCCTAAACTTACATTCTAATCTTATTTGTAACAAATTTTCTGAACCATCTGTGACATAGTAACACCTCTACTGGTCTCCATATCACAGTGCATCTACTGACATAAACTTTATTTTACTTAACAGTTCCAAAGCACAGCTTAGATATGCCAAAAAGAAGCTTCCTAAGTGAATACTCAAAGTAAATTATTTTGAAGAAAGCAGAAGAGACTTTATTCACATACTTTATTCTATTATTGTCTTTATAATCCATGTATATGAGCACTGGTTTGAGTCCCAGCTGCTCTGTTTCCAATCCAGCTCCCTGCTACTTAGCCTGGGAAGGCAGCCAGATATGGTCGAAGGTCATGGGCTCTTGTACCCACATGGAAAAACCAGAAGTTCCTAGCCAGTTCCCTACCGACTCAGCTCTGGCCACTGTCATTTGAGAATAAATCATCAAATGAGAGGTCTCTATTTCCCTTTCTCTGTAATTCTTTCAAGTAAAATACATCTTAAAAAAAAACAACAACATAGTATTTAGAGAGTTCAGTACCACCCATATTCAGCCATCCATAGGAGGTCTTGAAATGTGCAGTGAGAAGTAAGGCAGGATTAAAGCACCAATCCTTACACTCCATCACCTATATTAATCAATACTTTATTCATAGTTTTTTCTATATTCAGTGAGGCCTCAAGGCATTTCCTTCCACTATTCCTAAGACACGCCTCACAAGCAAATTCACTTTACTAATTCCATCTGCGAGTCAGAACTTGAGGAAAAAATAGCACTGATTTTCAACAGTTATGGGAAGACTAGTGGAGTTTCACAAAGCATCGTACACCTATTATCAAAATAATTTAACTTGTGAAATAAATGCATGCTCAAGACAAGTTTTTGGTAACTCCTCATTCCATTTAAATTACTCCTTCTATTATATGAAAATATGGAAATTCTCTGTCACTAAAAATGAGATTTTCCAGTTTAACACTGCTTCCCTTCCTCTTTAACATCATGGAAAAAGTTAATACACTGATCTCTATTAAAGAAATTATCGTGAATTAACCTGCATTAAACAGAAATGGCAGGGGAAAGTAAAAATATGCCAAAGGAAAAAGAGAGTAATACTTAAAAATCCACTGTAACCTAGAAGAACTGCAAAATAAAATGCTTTCATAAAATATATTTAAAAATAAGAATTTTTAAAATTATATATGGATTTCCACTTTATTGTAACAATATAAACTTTAATCTACTTTTTCACAACTTAAGTAATCCCCAATGCTTCTCTAGCAAAATTTCCCTGTTGTCAGACACTATAAAAAACTTATGCTGTTTTTGAAAACTTCTTATGACTATATAAATCTCAAAGATCAGTACATACTGACCTATGTGTCACAAAAATCCAACACAACTATTGACTACTACTACATCTTCTTAAAAAGAAACGTCTCATAGTACAGATGAGGAGGATGGCAATTAAAAATGAGTATGTCTAGAATCCTAATCAAAAACATACCTGCAGATTTGATTACTTTTGATGCAGATGTCTTGGCTTGTCCAGTTTTGGCTAAAATAGCAAAAAGATTATATTACTAGATCACAAATAACATCACATGGATTTAAATAATAATAATAATATGGCAATCTTTATACCCAATATACCCAATCTTTCCAGTGAGATGATATAATGCTTGCTTCTCTAATTTTGGATAATGTTTTATCAATTTCCATGTTTTAAAAAGTCATCTCTATTTCTGTTTCTGTGATGTAACTATTTATACTATTTTGGCAGGTTTTTTGTCATTAATGAGAATGTCTTACATATTAAAAAATAGTCTGCATCACATAGATAATAACTATTTTATGAGGTTATGCAAAATACTTTTAATGTAGTCAAGTATCTTCTGCTTGGGAAGGATTTCCTCACTCTGAAATTTAAAATATCATCATTTTTACATGACTTTACTGTTCTATATATCACTCTTTACCTTCAACAAAGCACTTGTATCAAAATAAATTACAGGTGCTTCAAGGTGTTTCTGCATAAAGAAAAACAGGCATTTTTAAAGGTGAGGTCATCTACCCAAGAAGAATCATTTCTTTTAAGCCATGTTAATGCCTATTGTAGGAGGACATTGTGAGCCTGGAAGGTCAGTGAGCACAGGTTTGCAGTTCATTGCACAGTATTTGCATGACAACAACCAAATAGCTACCTTTGGTATAAACAGCATGAAAATGAGAACACCTGGTGTAATATACAAAACAAAAGGAATTCCAATCAATAGAGGGAAACAGTATGGACTCTCAGTGTATAAAGTCTGATGCCCCTAATAAACTTAAGCTTTGACCATCAGTCAGGGTCCACGTGTGTTATTATCGGCTCCGTGCACCAAGTCCGTCGCTGCGGGACAGCGACAAGTGGCGCCTGAACAGGGACTTGAAAGAAGAAGAGAAAGTGCAGCGGAGACCCCCACAGAAAGTGGTGAGTGGGACAATGGGCCAGAACCAGTGCAGAGCAGGGTCGTTTATCTCTCTTATGCAGAATTTTTTAGTGAAAAGTGGAGCAAAGGTAACTAGGCAGCAATTGCGTTCTTATTTAGAGCATATTGGTGAATATAATCGTTGGTCTCCAGATGAATGGACACTAGAAACTGGACTTAAGAATTTTACTCAGAAAAATGCTGAAAAGGCCAGAAGGATAGAAGATATTCAAGTTAGTTTTTGGGTTATATCAGCTTTAATTAGAGCTGTTATTATAATTTTAGAAGGGGAATGTGCAAGAAACTCCTCTAAGAGGAGACACCCCCAAAATGTAGCCAAAAAAGAAGTGTTTCATAATATGGACAAGGAAGAAAGAGAAAGAGGACTCTTAAAGAGGTCCGCCTAACAGGAAAGGCTACTGTAATATTTCTAAAAAAGAAACGTCTCATAGCACAGATGAGGAGGATGGCAAAGAGCAGCCTGTGAGAGATTTCCCTAACGGGAGACGCCACCTTAACGTGGCTAGGAAAGAAATGGTTTATACTACACATGAAGAAGATGAAAAAGAACGTGTGAGAGACCCTCCTAGATGCCACTGTAATGCAGCTAAAAGAGAAAGGCCTTATGCTGCAGATGTGGAAATTAGGAAAAGAAAACTCAGGAGATTCTCCTAATGAAAGAAGTTACCATAATGTGACTGAAAATGAAATGAGAACTAAGAAAAAGGAGAAAATTTGTAGTGTTAAACCACAGGATTTCTCTAGTGAGGTAGTGATGGGATAATGGAAGAGTTAAATACCAGCCCATGCCGTCTCACTTTTAAATCTGATCAAAGACGTTTCCAAATGTCTGATGTTCCCCGGAGACCTCATGAATTCCGATTGCTTTTTCCAATCATACTTAGTCAAGAAAACCATCAACCTATCTATGAAAGCCCAGATGTTAATGCCATCACAGCTTTTAAAAATGCTTGCGTGTCCTACGGACCTACTTCTTTGTATGTGTGGGATTAAATGGCTGGAGCCAGGCAGCAAACTGGATTCCTTATGATTTCGAAGTAATAGCAAAAATAGGACTTTCTCCTTCTCAATATTTACAATGGAAAATGTGGAGAAGCGATATGGCTAAGGAAAAATTGCGATCGTTAGGAGCATCAGGTCGCCAACTCCCTGGAGGGGGGCAATTGACTTATGATATGTTAGTCGGAGATGGACAGTGGGTTACTACAGAGCAGCAGATACTGCTACCTCAAGCTGCGCTCATTCATATACGAGACGTAGCATTGTGGGCATGGGAGAAAATTGAAGCTGGGTCTGAATTTGCAGGCAATTATACAAAACTCATTCAAGGAGCCAGAGAATCTTAAGCTGATTTTGTAAGGCGTTTGACAGACTCCATAGAAAAACAAGTTAAAGGAGAAGGCACTAGGAAATTGTTATTAAAGCAACTGGCTTTTGAGAATGCAAACAAGGATTGCCAGGCTGTTATTCATCCTATAAAAGAAAGGGAAGATCTTTTGGAATACCATGTTGATACTTTTAACAGTCACTCCCCAGGAATATGTCCTAAGTGCCAAAGAGGCCAGCACTGGAAAAAAGAATGTAAATCTAAGTTTGATCGTGGTGGCAGATGCTTGTGGCCAGAAGACTCCTGGAGAAGCCATCCCCAGGCCCCAGGTCCCAAACATCCAGAGGTTTACAAAACAGGAACATCCTATTCAATTTGTGCCTGCAGAGAAGCTTCAAACTTAAAACAGCCAGCAAGTAAATCCTGGAGGCTGAAATTCCAATCAATTGTGGTGAATGCATGTTATTCATATAGCACTTTTTCTATACAGCATTGCTTAATCATGTATGCCAATTTTTAAGTACAAGTTTTTATATTAAGTTATCTTCTCTGTCTCATTAAGTTCTTATTGTTTAAAATTAATAAAGTGATGTTCTTGCTTTAAGGAGTATTTGGGCGACGGCATTATATCATTATAAGGTGAAAGTCTGCTGTTTTTGTGTTAATGTGCCCAAGTTGTAACTGCATGTCTTTTGGAATATTTTATAATGCTGAGGACACTGGAATACAAGAAAACTGGGATACAGGCCTTCAGTTTAACTGCTAGATTTCACAATATTGACCAATTTCAAGGTCTTTTGTTGTGATAAATGTTTAGCTAACTGATTTCATCTGCATCCATTGCAACTTTTGGGAACTTGGAATTCAAAGAAAAGACTGGGCTTTTGTAAATCTTGAGGGTTTTTTGGGGAGACATTTTTAAAAAAGGAGTGAAGTTTTATTGTAATTTTGGTATAGAATTGAACTGTAACACACTGTTAGATTATTTCAAACTATAAGTTAAATTAATGTGATATCGTCTACAAAGTGTTTGCATGTATTAATGTAATTCTCGTATTTTTGGCTAGTTATCAAATCCCTCACTGCCTTTAATGTGTCAAGGTTTTGTATTTGTTTTAAAGATATTTGAGTGATGTTCTCACATCAATAACCAATTGTAATGTATAATGTGTCATGCTAACTTCAACAACAAATCTTTCAGATATTTTCAGCTACCTTTAAAAAAGCATTTAAGTATTCAAAGGTTTCAAATCCTAGGGCTTCCCTTGGTATTCTTATGAGGCCTCAAGAATGCCAACGGATCTATCTCCCATTTTGTGGAGACAGTTGACCAGACTATTGAATTATATTAAGATTATTGCCAAATACAACATGGAGTAAAATTTTATTGTGTCAAAATGGTGTATGCTTCCATGGACTTGTGAAGGTTTAAATTTTAGTTTGCATGCTTTTAATGATTTAGCTCTAAAGTTGTATCTGGTTGTTAATTATGTATTCTTAGGATGCCTACATTACTGGAAGACTGAAATTTCCTTTTTTATTTTTTATTTTATTTTTTTTTAAGACTTATTTTTATTATTTTTTTATTGGAAAGGCAGATATACAGAGAGGAAGATCTTCCGTCTGATGATTCACTCCCCAAGTGAGCGCAACGGCCAATGCTATGCCGATCCGAAGCCAGGAGACTCTTTCAGGTCTCCCACGCGGGTGCAGGGTCCCAAAGCTTTGGGCTGTCCTTGACTGCTTTTCCGGGCCACAGGCAGGGAGCTGGGTGAGAAGTGGGGCTGCCGGGATTAGAACCAGCGCCCATATGGGATCCCCGGCGTGCAAGGCGAGGACCTTAACCACTGCGCCACCGCTCACCTGCCTAACACTTTTCTATGATTTGGTAGAATTATAAGACTGTTTTGATTATCCTAAATGCATAGAAATCTGTAAAATCACACTTCAATTATATAAATGGCAAGGCTTAAATTGTAAGTTGAGATTCTCCCCAAAACTTTCATCAACTATTAATACTAACTGTATAGAAACTGTGATGTTAAGTTTATACTCAGCTGTTACATATGATGGATGTTAACTGTTCACTGTTCCTGTGCAACTCTGATTTAGGTTAAATTCAAAAACATGTTAGCTCGGGAGAAATTATAGCTGTTAATATATATAACATTGTTTCTCCCCATTCTTCTGCTCTTCCAAGAACATGCTCCCCCAGTTACAAGTTTCAGGCTTAATTTTATAAAACACAGAAGGGGGATTTGTAGGAGGACATTGTGAGCCTGGAAGGTCAGTGAGCACAGGTTTGCAGTTCATTGCACAGTATTTGCATGACAACAACCAAATAGCTACCTTTGGTATAAACAGCATGAAAATGAGAACACCTGGTGTAATATACAAAACAAAAGGAATTCCAATCAATAGAGGGAAACAGTATGGACTCTCAGGTATAAAGTCTGATGCCCCTAATAAACTTAAGCTTTGACCATCAGTCAGGGTCCACGTGTGTTATTATCGGCTCCGTGCACCAAGTCCGTCGCTGCAGGACAGCGACAGCCTATTAGTAATATTTCCAAAGTTCCGGAAGCAGTTGCTTAGCCAACAGCTGAAGAAGCCTCTTGCAGATGCCTACATCACTTTTCACAGTACCTACATCAAGCCCAAGCTTTGCTCCATGTTCTACTTTCCTGTTTATGCACACTCTAGGGGGTAGTGGATGATGGCTACCACAGTTAGGAAAAA